TGTGTTTTGAGCTACAGATTTTTTTTTTTGGATCTGTTGGCGAATTTGTTTTCTTTTTTTGGTTTCGTTGAATGCATTCTACACTAATGAGTCCTTTTTTTGCGATGAGTTTAGTAAGTGGGTGGGGTGGGGGTTTAGGATATTCAATTCGATGTTACTTTGACGATGTTTTGATGATATCCTTTTTTTTCTGAAATGTTTTTTTTATGATTGTCCATTTGATTTGCATTTAGCATTTTCAAATTAATTGTCGTTTGCTATTTTGTAGATATAGATTTTCGTTTTTTGTTATTGTTTGGTTTTGTTATCGAATATCACAGTTCGTTCGCTCGCTCACTCGCTCAGTTTTGAAATGAGATGCTTCACTTTTTTTGGTTTTACATACAAAATTATATATATGAATAATTCTGGTGAAAGAAAATATGTGAATTTTATTGGTTTTCGTATAACTTTGGTTGTGGAACGACGGTATTCAGAATTTTTGAAATTTTGGGTGGAACTAAGGTAACAATACAGAGGTACATCTCCAAAAAGGGTCCACTCTTTCCGGTGCGTCACCATCCAATTCAACACATTCTAATAAATATACTCATATTTCATTGAAAGTGGAGGAAGTGTTCGATATAGTCCAAACCTGGAAATATTTATATCTGACTTGTAATAGAACATAGACTGAGGATATACATTTGTCGGTAAGGCTGTTAGTCAAGTCAAGTCAAGTCATCTCTTACAATTCAGAAAATGTGGAATGAATTGTTTCTAGTCTGAACCTTTTTCGAAACTATACTTGAATGGTATTTGATTTGCGATTTTTGAATGGTATTTGATTTGCGATTTTCTGACAGTCAGCAGGATCACCTACCATTAACTTATATAACATTACCAAAGCTTGTAAAGTAAAATTATGAAATCTTAAAAAATTATTCTCACATGGATCTTCGCCCATAGAACTCTTGTTTGAAATGAAAAGGTAGATGAGTTAGCCCGACCTCTTCTAAAAAACTCTGTTGCTGGTCATTAAAAAGGGACTTCTTCAAAGAATATGTTATAGAGGTACAAGTACAGTTGAAGACGATTAAAACATGTTGTCAATCAAATAATTCCTGGCTTAAAAATAATGCCAAACGTAAAAAGTCACCGATCGTATTAATGTGTTGCTCCCATCAAGACATATTGTGGTCATAACCACCGTTTTCGAAAAAAGTGCGTATTATAGATACCGCCTAAGACAAACCACATAGCTCAAACCAGGGCTGAGGCATGGGAGCAGGATACCGTCAATTTTTCCGGAGTCCGCCATAGTATGGAGGGTATTAAAGTTGTCATGCCGTTTGTAACACCTCGAAATATACATTTTTTGCCCAACAAAGTAGATAGTAGAGTACATTCTAGATCAGCATAAATTCTATGTCGATTTAACAGTGACCTTCCGTCTATCTGGATGTGAAAACCACTTTAGCTTCCGAACGAATTGAAGTAGGCTGATAAAATTTGACTTAAATGTGTGTTCCGTCTGCAGGACTTTGAAAATGGGCTGCAATCTGTGACAGAAAATTGTCTATACAGGTCTTCTTTTAGCTTCCATATATCCGTTTCTCCCCATATTCGGTATTTTTATGATTATAGCGACATTATTCTCCGAAATTGTTTTAAATATTGTATTTGACCTGGGAACCTTAGCCTATGAAAGGAAATTGCATATCCCAGTTCAAGCCAACGTATAGACTCCAAAATAACGGTAACTCGCTATATTCGGTATAAAGATTTTAACAGAACAGATTTTTATTAACGGATTCAGTTTTTATTTTTTTTTTTTTTTTGTTGAAAATTTCCAAATTATTTCCGAACTAACTGCCTTTTTACTTGTTTTTTTATCCCTTTGTTTTCCCTAATCAGTGTTACCCATTTATAGAAATCATTTTGGAATCTAAAGAGAGTCGACTTTACTTTTATATAGAGCTTTGAAATTTGGCTCAAATATTTGTATTTTCTGGGAAGATTAGAATTGAAATTGGGCTGCATCGGTGCCTCCTGATTTTCAGAATTCCGTTTATTTCAGAGAGCTACAGATATTTTTGATTTTTAATTGGTAGGTTTTTTCCAATGAAGATTGTTCACTAAAGGTCCACAATTTAACGTAGCACCATTTTATGGAACCTACCGCTTTAAAGTTTGTCTAAGGACTCAAATGCATTTTCCAATCAAATTTGCTATCCAAAAGGATATAATCCAGCCCATGTGAAAATATCCTAACTTAAAATCGATGTCATATGATAGTGTATCCTGATTTTAGAATTTTGATAAAACTAGCCTTTGAAATCGTTTTAATATTAATCCACGTTTTGAAGTTTTTAGTTTTAAAATTTTACTGAATAGAACATTTCCAAGCAAGATATCTTGACTGTAGGTCCAAGATTTAAACATTTGCGAACCTTACGCCACACTGTAGTTCAGGGTATTATGTCTTTGTGCCTTTGTACTATTCATCCAAATAGAATGTATTTCGACACATCCGACCGAATTTAGACTAGAAGAAAGTGCTTCAAATTTTGCGAATTTTGAATCAGATATAGCTATAGTTTTCATACATACGTGTATATCATTTCGGTTCCAATATATAGTGCTCTAATATATATGTTTTAATATAAACTTTCTTGAAGTTATGTCATGCACTCTATAGCAAAGTTATTTGTCGCAAGAGGTACAAGTGCCTCCGTTACATTTGGTGGAAATGGATTCAAAATTGAATATACCTCTTATGGTCGCTGATTCCATATTATAATTGCTCTATAGCCGTAATACGCATTCAAAAGACGTTCATGGTTGGTATGATATATACTTTACATAAATTCCCAATATTAAACGCTTATTTGTGAACGGTAGCTCTCTTATAGGGTGTCGTATAGACGGCGCCGCCCGACTTTTGACCTTATTTATTGTTTTGATATAATGAAGGTTCTTCAAATCAAGGGGTAGATGTAAAAACAGTCTTTCCTAGCAGAAATAGGAATTTGTGTTAGGAGTCAAGCCGGAGTCAAGCCGGATTCGACTCCGGAGTAGAAGTCTGATAAAGATGACTCGAATGTGCAACCCTAGCCCGAACATAATCAAAACTCTCATTACCTTTAATGAGATTTCTTGAAAGTTTTCAAAGAGAGATACAAGAAACAATGATATTATGCGGGTTAACTTAGCGCCGCTTCTGACTTCCCATAAGTGCCAAAATATGCAAATTGAGACCCCATTAGCCTCTTAAAACATGATGAATGTTTTTAAAAATTTTACTCATATTGCTGGAGACACCATAGAGAGGACAACATGTATGATACAAATATTAAATGCCAGGCTGTTTGAACATCATAATAGGCTTACACATGTTAGTACGTAATTATGATGGGTCAAAATTTTTTTTTTTTTGTCGTTTATGAGGTCGGTTTTGGCACACTGAATCAAAGTCTTATTGAATTTGTGAAGTATGAACCACATTCTAGATCGGGTCATTGTATGAGTTTTTTGATTTCCTTCAAATTTATGACCGTATGTTGGGAAGATATCGTAAGAAATAATCAAATATCGCACGCATGATCTTCATGAGGCATACAAAGGGGATGTATCAGAGAGAAAGAGAGAGATGTTCTTCATCTTAGAAATTGATGACAAAATATATTTTAATCAAATCGTAATGCGATTTTGCTTTATATGAGATATAATTTTTTTTTAAGATAAACCGTTTTTGGGATGTATGCCAGAAGAAGTAGACCAGATTTGTTCTTCGTCGAACTTGACAAAAAATTAGATGGAATTATTAATCGGACCGACAGGGGTCTAATGCCGAAGAGTTATCTTTCATTTTACGAAAGAAATAAGGATATTGTAATTTATTATAGTCGGTCTATGCCTTCTGGACTCATAATATTTTTTATACCGCTTCAAATTCGATTTTTTTACATAAAATATCTATATTTTTTATTCCATTGGAAATAATTACTTCCAAAAATTTAAAAAAAAATTAGGCCATCTGTTAGTTTTAAAGAAATTTTAATTATAGCGTAATTTTCGAATTAACAGAACTAGAAGAAAAAAACAGAGGGGTATTAACCATTGGAATTGTTTGTGAAAAAAATTTTCCATAACATCGTCCTACTGAACCAAAGTTATACAATCACATTAAAAATCCTCTATTCACCAGTTTAAAATTATTTTTCTTTAAAATCATTATGATAAATATTCAAAATTTCTCTATGATCAGATGCTGTCCTAATAGAAACGAAGTTTATTTTTCTTTTTTGTTATTGTATTATTATCACACACATAACTATGATTATGTAAATATGTTATGTTATTTACATTATAACATTATAATAATAAAAATTTGAAAAAAAAAAAAAAAATCAAAATCAAATAAACAACAAAGTAAATAGAAACACATTATGTTGACTGAATGTATGATGACTTATTCTAAGTAATAATAAAAATATATTTTTTGTTGTAGTAGTATTAGTAGAAAATAGTAGATGTAGTTGTAGTTAGATTATTGCATGTTATTGGTGGCTGTAGTACGAGTTTCGATTCGCTTTTGAACAAACTCATTTAAATGTTTAACATTTTTTTGGTTTTGGTTTTGCAATAATAACATTTGAATTTTAAATTTAATTTTTTTTCAAAGATTGAAAAAATCATAATAATAATAATATTTTTTTTGTTTTTGTTAAATTTTGTGTTTTTTTATAAATAATTGTAGAGAAATAGAATTGTGATTTAAAACTCATTTATGGGAGGAAGGGTAAATTGTTGCATTACTCGGGAGTTTTTTGTTTTGTTTTGTATTTGGCATAAAATAAGCAGTAAATTTTTGGTATGGTTTTTTTTGATTTTTTTTTTTTTTGGTATAGAGAATCCAAAATTCATTCAAAGGATACACAACAACCAACACAAAAAAAGGTATAAAGAAGAAATACATGGATTAGTACAGTTGTTAAAATGGCTTTAGCGACACTCACCGATGATCTACTCACTTGCATAAACGCATAAACACCACGTAAAAACTCCATGTTAGGCTGCTGCTCTTGTGATCCTTTGGCTGGCCGCTGTGCTCGACTGATATACTGTTTAACGGTGTCGGCAACTAAATGAGGTTTAAGTTTACGTGATAGTGCTCTGGAAGGAAAAAATGTTAAGAGTGGGCTTAAATTAATATCTTAATCATTGTTTAAATAACTTTTTAAATAAGATTTTTTTTATTTGAACAAAATATATTTTTAGTAAAATTAAACGAAGTAAAAATGAATTATTGTACTCAACTACAAGTAACGTTAAAAATTGTGGCATTCTTGGTCATCCAATTATTCATTATCATCGTAATTGGTAATCCTGATGCGTTTTGAATCATTTTTTTTTTAATTTTTTAAATTTTCACTCATAAATTTTCATTTATATTACAACTTGATTGCTATTATATTGCTAATAACTTCGTATTAATATCTTTGCATAGAGTAATGTTTTAGAACAAACACTGGCAGTTTTACAATATTTGCTGATCGCTACGAATATAATGATTTTTCCTTTGGTCGTTTTATACAAGAGGCTTTAAACTAAAAAACGGGTAGTTAGTATTAAAATCCTTAAAGAAACATAACCCCGAATTACAGGTAATTAAATTAAAAAATCTGCCACTAATATCGGAAAATATTGTTTATAGATGTCATAAAATTATGAAAATAAATTGAAAATAAAATATTTAAAAATTTTGTTTGAATTCTTCAGAAGACAGAACATTGCAGCGAACAGTAATACAAATCCTCTTAGACATAATAATAACTTATGAGTCTAATTTTGTAAGTAGTGTGGACGCTATATTGATTTCCACCCATAGACTGATGAATATTACTAACCATAAGATTTTTATTCTAATGTTAGATATATATTCGAAATATGATGCAGGGTATAAAAATGTTCATCTTCAAAAAAAACTTGTTTATAATATAATGAAATATTGAAAATATATTTTCTTTATGATGTATTGGGCGCCACAACTGTGTCACATTTATTGAGGAGTTTGAATAACGAAATAACCGAATTCCAAAGATGTTGTTATTCTTGTAACAAGATATAGAACTAAATTTATTATATTTAGATGTTTTTGGTCAATTTGACTATATACCAGGTCCCAGAAGTATATGTGCTATTTATTCGTAATTGTTTTAAAAATATGTGAAAATGTGTAAATTCTTGTCTCAATATTTCAATTTAACGCATTTACTATCCAGAAGTTCGGAATAGCTCTCTGACATGGCTAAATTGAAACAAAATGTCTTAAGATAGGTTACGTAGCAATAGATGTGAGGTGTAACTACTCAATGAAACATGTTTTTGTTGTTACACCTACATAATCAATAATCTGAATGTGTACGTATTGAAGTGAGGTGATCGAGTCCATGGATGTTTGCTATGGAAAATGGGCTACATCTCTTTATACACAGGGTGAGATGAAAAAACTGCAACCAACAAGTCACTCGTATGACAGCTGTTAAAATTATTCAAGTGACAGCTCATTATACTGTTAACAAGCGTGCAAAAGCATTTTGTTGAGAATTTTTCAGAAAAAAAGTTATTCGTGATGGAGTTTAGGCGTGATAGTGTGATTTCTTTATATTTGGCTGCAAAACCACAAGTTGCCATTGTTAGAGCACTCCAGCATTTAAACGTGAATAAATCTTTTGGTATCTCGTACCATCGCTCGTTACCGTGATACTGGTAGTGGACAGATGAAAACAGCAACATCAGCAGAAATGGTTTGAAAAGTAAAGAAGCGACTTGATCGAAACCCGCGTCGCAGTGGCCGAAAAATGGCCCGTGCGCTGAACATATCGCAGTATTCCATTCGCCAAATATTGAAACATGAGCTCGGGGTAATGCCATTGAAATTCCAAAAAGTGCAAGAACTTACAACGCAGAAGAAAGAAAATAGACTCAAAAGAGCAAAAGAGTTGCTTCGCATGGCCGAAAGTGGTGAACTGCTGAATTTGGTTTTCTCCGACGAGGAAACATTCGTTGTCCAGCAGTTTGTTAGCAAACAAAATGATCGTGTTTATTTCCAAAGAGGTCAGCTGAAAATGTGCAACTTCGGTTGGCCACCAGAACTCAAGCGGCGGCCATGGTGATGGTGTGAGCCGCCATAACAGCCGATGGTCCCTCGCCGCTCGTATTAATCGACCGTGACATCAGAACAAATTCCGAATATTATCGAGAAAATATTCTGGAGGGTGTATTAAAGCCTTGGACATGTGAACATTTTGGCAGCAGACCTTGGATTCCAACAGCAATCAGTACCAACGCACTCAGCACGCGCCACCCAAGAATATTTACAAAATGATGTTCCTCGCTTCATTTCCAGCTCACAATGGCCACCAAAATCTCCAGATACCAATCCGTTGGACTATTGTGTCTGGAGTATTTTGGAAAGCAAGTTTGGCACTAAAAAATAACAAGGTGTCGATTACCTTAAGTAAGCGTTTCGCCGGGAATGGCCCAAAATACCGCAGAGTAACATTCGGGCAGCGTGTATTTGTTTTATTGGCCGTTTGAAGGCCATAATTCGTGCCAAAGGCAACCAATTCCCACAAATCTAAACTAATTTTAAAATTTTATGCTATTTCCGACATGTTTTGCTTTCTTTCAATAAAAAATGCAAAAAGTATTGTGTTTGACATTGTTGCAGTTTTTTTATCTCACCCTGTATGTGGATTTGAAAAATTTGAAGGAAATCAGATTAGAATCATGAGAAATATAAGTATTTCAAATTGTGTACCATTGTGGAAGATGTAACAGAAGGGGTAGTTCGAGGCCTATCATTTTCACAACGGAACTTGTGTTAGCAAAAATATTAGGATACATGAAATGTGAAGAGAATCTGATGCTTATTTCGCATTTTATATAATTATTCAAAATTTCGACCCATTGCAGGTGTGAAATTTGAACTCAATCGGAGTCTGCTTCATATTTTATAAAATTTATAATTATTCTAACTTTTGACCCCTTGTGTGGGACGTACTAAATAAATGGGCCATTTTCGCGCTTGACATAGCACTGGAAAAAAATATATCGATTTCTAAAGTTTGTACAAAATCGATTGATCTCTTCTCTTTTTATGAGGTAAATTATTATTATTATTATAATTTTTTTTTTTTTTGAGAATATTTAACTTTTGTGGTAGAGGTACCAAAAGGAGTGGAACGATCGAGCAACAATCTAAGTTTGACAATAATTTTATGATGCACTAAGTTTGAACAAAATCGGATAATCCTTTCGAGAGTTATCCTCCGCACCTGACACCACACAGACAGACTGACGGAGAGCTCTAGATCGACTCCAAATGTCTTGGAACGGATTTGGTCCAAAGAGACCCTGGGTCTAAACCCGTTATTTCGATGAGACGCGTATCAAATGATAGATACCCACTGTAGCCAGGGTATAAAAAGTTCATTGGATGTCTAATTTGTCTCATATCTCCCGAATAACGGTATCTCCCGATATTCGGTATGTTGAGGCACCCCCATTTACCATGACACCAGCTCTAATTTGATATTCCGGATTCTTAGTGGATAGTTTATCTCCTCCGATAAAACTCAATGCAGGTAAACATTTTCGTATAGCTTCAACTTAAGCGAGATTTCAAATTGATGAATTTAGAGAATATACGATTTAGCTATAAGCCAAGTTTTATCCTGGTGGTGGTTATAAAAATTTAGGACTGACGGAACATTGCTATTCCCAGTAATTTATAATTAAAATATTTTTAGAGGCTACTCTTTAATTAATTTAATTACAAGTTGGAAATAAGGGTGTCATGTTTCCTGTCACCTAATCCAAAATGTACACAAAGTTAATTTGTAATAACATTAACACAAATTGTCAATGTATTGTAGCATAAAATCCTATAAGCGATATATTCAAAGTTTGATTGTCTATATATTTAAATTTTCAATTTTTGTTTTTGGAAATTTCTCAAAAATCCTTTTGAATTTGATTGTGATTGTTTAAATGCAAAATACACACCGACACTTGACAATTGTCTTGTGGCATTTCCTTTGCACTTGTTGTTCTTTTTCATTGTTGATGTTGTTGTTGTTGTTGCATTTTGACATTCAGTTTGTAACCAGTATTACGCCCACACAAAACGCCTTTCTTGTGTATTTGTCTCGTGTGTGTGAGTGTGTAATTGTGTTTCCGTGTGTGTTTGTGTGGGGGTGATATAATTGTTTTTTCTTGTGTGTATATGTGTGGGTGTCTTGCCTTAAACAATTGTATTGTTCTTAATTTACCTTAACTGCCTTTTTTAGTACTCTCGGCAACAACTCTCAAAGCGATGAGAATGAACAATGATGCAGAAAAAATGTAAATATAATGCCGCACAAGAGCGGAGAACCCACACAGCTTCATTCCAACGCCCACCAATTGCGAGCACATACGAACTGACAACCAAACGTATACACCAACACCTACATAGAGAATTGCAGGCATTTTGTGAAAATTTACAAAACTTACACCTACACTCAAGGCAAAAATACAGAAATAAGTGTTTAACCCTTTCTCCGGCGCAGGAGACATGCATAGGCCCCCCCTTTCCTAGTGGGGAACGAACAAAAAGCAAACCTTCACACTTCTTTATATTCTCTAGAATTTCCACACACACATAAATGGTTGTAGGATATATTACTACCACCCAAACATACACTCATACACACATGAGATGGATATTGCCCTTGTTGCTACAGTTGTTCTGCGGCGGGTATAGGTGTCGGTCGGTGTCACCGGTGAGGCGCTTCTTCTATTCTATTATGGTGGCAACAAACCAAGCTTGTGCACATTTACAATGCAAGTAGCTCATTGTCGTAGGTGGTTGCTGTTGTTGTTGTTGCTCTCTCACCATGGCAGGTGTTGTTGTTGCTGGTGATTGTGCATAAACACAGGAAGAGCCAGAGAGGGGAAGAGACAAGAATGCAACTTAAGCACCAAATTGCCACTTTGCTTTTTTTGTAGAGTGTAAACGGAAACGCTTTTTTGTGTGAATGTCTTTTTTGTGACACATGTGACTATGTATGTGTGTGTATGTGTGCATGGGTGTTTAAATATGCACATGCATTATTTGAATGAATGTG